TGATGGCAACAGCGGAATCTCTAGGAATATATAAATAACTGAACTGGAAGGACAACATATCTATCAGCTGACCATGGATATTAATATCAACAGCTGGTTCATAATTGCTGATATAAATTAAAAAAGAAAATATCTGTGAGCGTTATACAGTAATAAATATATGAACGACTACAATCTTCAGACTCTATGTACATTTCGCATCTTGAGACGTCGTTTTAGACTTGCTGCTGAGTATAAATAGACTTTATTTACTACTCCTGACAGACAATGTAAATAAAAATTACTGGTGTTACTCATTTTACTATCTAATCACATATGTTGGCAGCCTGCCATTTATAATTCATAATATCATATTGTAAATTTGAACCCTGCCGTGCAGTACAGTCTTGAGACTTTTAAAATAAAGTTGTTCAGTTAAGTATTTTCAGCACGAATAAGTGAATAAGGCTTAAAAGGCCGAAAAACATATCATTATTAATTTCCCTCAGTTTGGATATTTTTCTGTTTTTAGTCTTGAGATCTAGTATGATGACATGCAATTTTGAGTACATTTTAAATTACATGATTTTTTATTTTTTTTTTATAAAGCTTGCAAGTCTTAAATGCTTGCATATATACACAGACCTGTATGGGTAAAGGTATACAGAGGAACTGTTGGCGTCCTGTAGTAATTTATACGTTTGATAAGGATTTGTCAACACTACTAAGATAGTATCTGATATATATCTATATATATACCTGGGTCTGATGGACACATATAGCACAGAGTCGCTGCTATTGTTTGGACATGTACGCCCTTGTTTGACCGTTATCTGATATCTGTAATAGACACCAATGGTGATTTGTCCCCTATATTGTCGACTGACTGGGCCGAATCTTGACCTTATAGGGTCGATGAATGTCTTGTTTATAAAATGTTTCAACTCCAAAGTTGGGGGTGGTTTGTGAGCTGTTTTACTGTTCAGGTAGAACATTATAAATCTACAAGTGTTGGAGAAAAGGACTAGTAAACATTGGCATGTATTGGCAGGTTTTGATGTATACAGGTTTTTGTCTGGATTGGACACGTTTTAGGACTGCATACATTGAATTAACATTTAGAAAAATATAAAACGGATTTATTTCTAGATGACCGATACCATTTTATTTATGATCAGGGAATCAACCCCAGCTGTCATGGTGAAACCTGCGTGCGCTCATCCACTGTGCCACCCACCATCAACTAAAAATAGAAAAAAATTGAACCAATGGCAAAAATAAGCTTTGCATGTCCATTTTACAATTTTTTGTGCTGTCAACAAATAGATTTCCATTCTGTTTCACTTCTTGTTTTCTGTCCTCCTATGTTCTTACCAAATTCGCTAATTTCACGTAAGAGCTAGCCTAATATGCCATATTATATTTGTGATTTGCATGTTTATGTTTGAGCCTACCACCAGACTAGGTTACACTCCACCATTCTGTAGTGGTAGTAGTCTGGAGATGAGTTGAAGTGACAGTAATGTATTTCTGACATGCTTCTGTTACAACAGACATTGTTTCTTACAGATCATCAGCTCGTTAACACGTTATAACCCAGGTTTAGTGGTAAGAATAGTTCAGACTTTTTTATCTTGTACCAGTAGCCTCTGATTCTTTGAATGTAAACAAACCTCTCTTGCCTAAACCAACAAATGTACAATGATCAGAAACCTGTATATAACAAAGATGAATAATTACCTTAGATCCATTTGCATCAAAGATTTGAATTTCTTGTGAAAATTGCTGCACAGTTGCTAAGGAAATTATTTTTCTGATTACAGTGCGTCAAAAGCCTAAACTTTAACACAGATCAGTTTTTTTGCAATGGAAATGATTTCAGTAACAAACAAACCAACTGTACTTCACAGACAGACATTACAATCAAGTCTGTGGTGTTTTTTTCTGTGGACCATTTTGATTGCTGTAAAAGTCATACCAATTACTTGAGAATTGCTGGGAAGGCTGATATAAGTATGTAGCCTTTTTATCACACAATCAGCCCCCGCGGCATTCGCATCATATGGTTGTCACTGCCTGTCTTAATCCATAGCCAAACACTAAATGCCAGAGTTGCCAATTAGGCATCGTCTCAGCATTCTAGTTTTCAAGATATATGATCCAGGTTTTTCCTACAAACTCATTCATTGTAAATTGTTCCAAGTCTTTGTGATTGTTTATTAGTTTTTTGAGGAGGTTGAATGTTTCTTTGAAACAGAAGCTACAAAATATTTTTTGAGCCAAGATGTTTGTGGTATGTAAACTGTATATCCAAACATGGTCCCTGAAGATTGTTAACATCTGATGTTGGTGACTTGTTATCTATTGATATCATAATACCTGTGTTTTAGGACATAAGTGTCCTTGTGTGATCACAGTTCAATGATACATGTGTTTTAGGACATAAGTGTCCTTGTGTGATCACAGTTTGCTACCATTTTGTACTAATGATACATGTGTTTAAGGACATAAGTGTCCTTGTGTGATCACAGTTTGCTACCATTCTGTACTAATGATACATGCGTTTTAGGACATAAGTGTCCTTGTGTGATCACTGTTTACTACCATTCTGTACTAATGATACCTGTGTTTTAGGACATAAGTGTCCTTGTGTGATAACAGTTTGCTACCATTCTGTACTAATGATACCTTTGTGGTCCCTGAAGATTGTTAACATCTGATGTTGGTGACTTGTTATCTATTGATATCATAATACCTGTGTTTTAGGACACAAGTGTCCTTGTGTGATCACAGTTTGCTACCATTCTGTACTAATGATTCATGTGTTTTAGGACATAAGTGTCCTTGTGTAATCACAGTTTGCTACCATTCTGTACTAATGATACCTGTGTTTTAGGACATATGTGTCCTTGTGTGATCACAGTTTGCTACCATTCTGTACTAATGATTCATGTGTTTTAGGACATAAGTGTCCTTGTGTGATAACAGTTTGCTACCATTCTGTACTAATGATACCTTTGTGGTCCCTGAAGATTGTTAACATCTGATGTTGGTGACTTGTTATCTATTGATATCATAATACCTGTGTTTTATGACATAAGTGTCCTTGTGTGATCACAGTTCAATGATACATGTGTTTCAGGACATAAGTGTCCTTGTGTGATCACAGTTGCTACCATTCTGTACTAATGATACATGTGTTTAAGGACATAAGTGTCCTTGTGTGATCACAGTTGCTACCATTCTGTACTAATGATACCTGTGTTTTAGGACATAAGTGTCCTTGTGTGATCACAGTTTACTGCCATTCTAAACTAATGACACATGTGTTTTAGGACATAAGTGTCCTTGTGTAATCACAGTTTGCTACCATTCTGTACTAATGATTCATGTGTTTTAGGACATAAGTGTCCTTGTGTGATCACAGTTTGCTACCATTCTGTACTAATGATACATGTGTTTAAGGACATAAGTGTCCTTGTGTGATCACAGTTTACTGCCATTCTAAACTAATGATACATGTGTTTTAGGACATAAGTGTCCTTGTGTGATCACAGTTTGCTACCATTCTGTACTAATGATACATGCGTTTTAGGACATAAGTGTCCTTGTGTGATCACAGTTGCTACCATTCTGTACTAATGATACCTGTGTTTTAGGACATAAGTGTCCTTGTGTGATCACAGTTGCTGCCATTCTGTACTAATGATACATGTGTTTTAGGACATAAGTGTCCTTGTGTGATCACAGTTGCTACCATTCTGTACTAATGATACATGTGTTTTAGGACTAAAGTGTCCTTGTGTGATCACAGTTTACTACCATTCTGTATTAATGATACATGTGTTTTAGGACATATGTGTCCTTGTGTGATCACAGTTTGCTACCATTCTGTACTAATGATACATGTGTTTTAGGACTAAAGTGTCCTTGTGTGATCACAGTTTACTACCATTCTGTACTAATGATACATGTTTTTTAGGACACAAGTGTCCTTGTGCGATCACAGTTTGCTACCATTCTGTACTAATGATACCTTTGTTTTAGGACATAAGTGTCCTTGTGTGATCACAGTTTACTACCATTCTGTATTAATGATACATGTGTTTTAGGACATATGTGTCCTTGTGTGATCACATTTTGCTACCATTCTGTACTAATGATACCTGTGTTTTAGGACTTAAGTGTCCTTGTGTGATCACAGTTTACTACCATTCTGTATTAATGATACATGTGTTTTAGGACATATGTGTCCTTGTGTGATCACAGTTTGCTACCATTCTGTATTAATGATACATGTGTTTTAGGACATATGTGTCCTTGTGTGATCACAGTTTGCTACCATTCTGTACTAATGATACCTTTGTTTTAGGACATAAGGGTCCTTGTGTGATCACAGTTTACTACCATTCTGTACTAATGATACCTGTGGTTTAGGACATAAGTGTCCTTGTGTGATCACAGTTTGCTACCATTCTGTATTAATGATACATGTGTTTTAGGACATATGTGTCCTTGTGTGATCACATTTTGCTACCATTCTGTACTAATGATACCTGTGTTTTAGGACTTAAGTGTCCTTGTGTGATCACAGTTTACTACCATTCTGTACTAATGATACATGTGTTTTAGGACATAACTGTCCTTGTGTGATCACAGTTTACTGCCATTCTGTACTAATGATACAGTCAGGGAGTTCCAATGATGGTACTCAGCTAATTCTATACCTTTTAAAACGATACAGTGAAATACTTATCCACCTATAATACATGTAAATGCCATCTGGCTGTCAGAATTAATAGAACTTAATTGCCACAGGAAGGGACCTGTCTATAATTCCCATCATTTAGACAGATCATCCTATTTTGGTTCCCTGTATAATGAGCTGCATGAAGCCCACTAGTATTTGTACTGTACAGTTCAGCCGCACCGACCACCATCGACTTTGGTTGGACTAGCATGCTATAATATGCTATACTGTGCATAGAGTCAGTACTCGGAGCCAGATTAAATGGGAGGCTACATACAAAACAGTCAAAGGAGAGCTACTGCCCGACAGCATGCCTAGTACACTAGCTACTGACAGGGGTTTTCTGACAGCTCGCCTAGTACATTGCACTACTCAGACTTCGTTTTCGGGTTTCGTTTTCGTGTTGACTGTACACAGATAAAACCTTCACACAGCATATGTACACAGGAAGGTAGCGGTGTGTGGTGAATAACTGGCTGAAATCTGTAGATGTTTGTGTTATCATAGGTGTGTCATCTCAGGCATTTTACTTCGTTGGGTTTTAAAGCTGGGATACCTACGTTTGAGGTTTACCTGTAACGAGGAATACCTATCGTGATAGTCCAAGGCAGGTAAGTCACCTAGTTTATGATTATACATACACACAGGAAGTGTTACAGTGTAGATTTTTAAATTTCTTTTATAATTTCTTTTTCCAGTGAGAAAACGTATGAGAAGTTAGATTAATTCATATGGTGTGTCTATACCCAGACTTAATACAAACTTCCACTATACACTGTATTGTATATGAGTCAGTCGTATAGTTAACTGGGTTGTTGTATACGATGTATGCCTTATAGTACTGCCACGGTTCTTGACCCTCTAATTGGTAAACATCTAAAGTCACTTTAAACTCATCAAATGGAGGGTATATTGTATATACATAAACCAGCAGCACTACTCAGTGTATAAGTAGGATTTTATCTATTAATTGACATTGATGCGTGTCTGTAACAAACATACAAACATAAGCAATGTTGTATGTAACACCGGTAAGTTGTAAGACAGCCCAACTGTCACACATTAAAACCTTACTAGTAATCCAACCTTTGAACGTTGAATCAATAATATAATATTTCACAAACAAACACGAGGTTGATACCATGTAAGAATCTTTTGCACTTGGATTATTTACATGGGTTTAATTTCAACATTACAATCATCATGATGTATCAGTAAACAATATATCAAGATAAACATCTAGACTGGTGTGTGGTAGCTCTGACATGTCAATTTAAAGTTCAGTTGGGATTGTGCTAGGAGAAAAACTAAATACAAATGCATTATTAATGCTCCTGTGATCGCCAGGTGTTGGTAGAGGCTTATAATAATAGTCTCGCTTCATTTACCCTCGTATAAACGCGCGGATATGAGGTCTCCTCACACAGGGGCCCCACATGTCATTTTACCCTGTATCAGTTTATCGTTAACATTTTTTATATTTCGATCTTTTGTTGACATATACTGCATACTGTTAGCAGCATCAAATATGATATTGGGAAACATGGTGTTTATTTGTGTGTTTGATACACCCTGTGTGTTTCATTGTAACGGGAGCATTCTATATAGTCTATGGGTCAACAAATTCAATAACAGCATTTTATGGGATTTTTTCTTACCTTAACTGTAAAAAAAGTTATATATCCAATTTATTCCCTCCATGGTTCATTACACAAGGTATCATAAATTCTGTTTTTTTGAGCTGAGAGCTGTTTTTCCTGGCAGTGCTGGTATTTGACAATGATAGAGGCATTATTGATTGATAGTTTTTAATACCACACATTCCTGTGTTTTCAGGAGTGATGAATGGTTTAATTAATTGGTAGCCGTACATATATATATATACAATTTTCCTTTGATATATTTGTAATGGAAATACCTAATGGTATGGTGTGGTTGTATGGTGTCCAGCTAACATTAACAATGTAGGGATGGTGCAGAGAGTTAAAAGGTTTAGGAATAGCACCTTGACTGATGCCCTATATTTTATCATTACTGTAATACTAAATGGTATGGTGTGGTTGTATGGTGTCCAGCTAATATTAACAATGTAGGGATGGTGCAGAGAGTTAAAAGGTTTAGGAATAGCACCTTGACTGATGCCCTATATTTTATCATTACCGTATTTATCAACCATTAGCCCATGCCTGGTAATAAGCCCTCTTTGTTCCATAACAGTTCAGTCAAAAGACCAACTAATGTTTTTCAGTTTTCTGCAATAAGTTCATTCCCTACTTTGTGCAGGATAAATAAGGTAATAATTAAGTCCATGTCCTGTGTTAAGCTCATCCACTATAGTTGTATAAAACTGGTATAATGTTCAGATGGAGGAAGTAAGCCTAGGTTTCCTTTATATGCTATTAATGTCAAAGTTAATTAAGTCGTATTTTAGCGTTTTAAATTAATGTAAGCTCATTAAGCTGATTACAAGTAAAAATGGTCCTTATCACAAGTGTCTGAAAAAATGGGAAAACTTTCCATGAACAATTTTGAAGTAATATATTTTTGTAAGGAAGCAAAATATGAATGTGTTGAAAGTATCTGTCTAGGTTATCAGACTTCATAGTAAGTAAATGAAATCAACAAAACAACTTGCAGTGGAATTTTCTAAAAGTGTCCATGGCAGACTTTATCCCATTTTAAACTTTCAGCTCAATAATATTGTGTTCAACATGCTGAGCTTATAATATACAGTGAAATAGTCTGTGATAGTCTACAAGATGGTGATTTCAAGGTATATTTAAGGATAGAACTTACTGTATATATGCACAATTTCTTATTGCATTAGTTCAGACTCAAAATCAATTTGTCTGGAAACCAAGTTAAGTATGTATATATGTGCAACCCTGTTCAGGTTAAAAAGAGCATAAACCATCTGTTATATATCTGTGGGTGAACTACTGGATCTGATTCATCACTCCTATGTAAAACAGACACTCATAACGGAAAGATGAATGGAAATTGGTTTTGAAATGTCTGTGAGGAGATAATATAATAATCTAAACAGCGTGCAAGTAGTTGAGGGTTAAACAATGGTAGGTAATGCATGTCTATACAACTGTACATAATTTGAGTCATTATAGCAACAATATAAAAAATAGAATTATAAAAGATCGAGAAATTATTCTCGTCCGTAAAAATAACCGAACTTGTTATAAAACTGTTTGGAAGCTGTGCGAGTATATTTATAGATAATGTGAATTCATGTGCCGATCTGGAAGATCTACTGTGGAGCCCCAGTCTAGCATCCCAACAGACCCTCTCAGCACCCACTAGTAAACCAATGGAGCCAGAATTCATGCTATTCATTCTATAGTTTCTCTTTCTAAAACAAAAACCAGCAAACACTCCAAATGTTTAGATAGGAAGAGTTATCTAGTTGTTTTAAGAACACTCGGTGAGGTCAAGCGTCTTGACCCATAACCTAAAATTTTCTTCGTAACACACACCTGAGTTTGGCAAAGGTACATATCTGGTATAGCTGTACTACAGGAATAGCAGTAGTGTAACACCTGTTGGTAAACCTTGTGGGATGGCACATCCTCGATGTTAGAGGATCACTAGCTCTCGGTCAATGAATGACTACGGGTTGAATAGTATTTGGTCACTTTAAACATCTGTTTTAAATAATCAATACGTTCATTGACAAATCATTTTGTTGATTTATAGTAAGTAAATCATATGCATGTATTTATTTTTAACGTAGTCAGACGTTGGATGCAGTCCATGTTTGCCAGAATGCAAATTGTATACTGTGTAAAAGGATTTGGTGTACTTGTAACGCAGCATGCTTTGATCCATTGATGACTGATATTTTGACAAAGATGTAAGGGATTTTCTTTGAACAATATAGAACTGTGTGTTCATCACTTGAACTGTTTTATACAATCGGACAACAACAGAATCGTGAACAATCCTCGGTAATAAGTAAAGAGTATTATCTCAAGGCACTGACCTGTTAAGTCTTTATCTAACAGCTTCCTCTAAGTTCACCACATCAACGAAAACAAATAAGGCAGTAATTGGCATCCTTAAGTTCACACGTGTCTGGTAATTGTTTCTTGAAATAGTTACATTTATTAACATATAGCAATGTTTTTGAATTTCTTAATTATTGTTACAGATCAATATACATATCATTTCACAAGATGAAAAAAACAACTCTATATGCTTATCATGTTATGTAATTGTTCACGAAAATTTGCATTGAAGCCTAAGTGTACAATTAATTATGAGGCAATTGACATGCTTGTATTTAAACTCATCTGTGTGTTGATTGTAGCTGATAATTGATCTATAAATATATGGTTGTTATATATGTACTTTGGCATTTTGCATTTGATTCGAGAACAGATTTTAGTTTAAAGCAGGCAGATGTGTCCCGTTGTTAACATTTCTAGTGTTAAGCCTAAGTGTTTAAGATGTGGCCGACATCAGATTATTTTAAAACTGGGTTATATTCTCCAGTATCTAACATGTGCCTTGACCATAAATGGCCAGCAAGCACATTCTTTATGTGGACCAACACAACCAGGAGACTGCCTGTCTGTGTGTGTTCCTAATTTATGATGGCTAATATTGATACTTTTATCAGGTATTAATATTAGCTCAAGCTTTATTTGACCATAAACCTGCGCCCTGAGTGTATTGGTCAGTTTTCATCTTACAGGTAGGTTTGTGGTCTCACGGTTTTTCATGGGCCTCAGTAGGAACAAGGTCAAGTCAAGGTCATTGTCACACCTGTTTGATATACATGGGTTACCTGCTGTCTCTCTATTGTATACATGTATGTGTCTTGAAGCAGAAAAAAGTAAGGAAAAGAATTGGTTTAATTGCTCAAATCCTTGGTGACATTCAAGTTTCAGAGGAATTCTTTGTAGTACATGTACTTTGACAGGGTACATTCAACTTTCCAAGAGATTTCGAAATAATTCACAATGAGATTGCAACATACTGTTTGATTTTGTTTCAACATCACTAAAGTAACTTCATTGTAGAATTTATAAGAAGTACGTTTATTTTGTTGAAATAGTTTGTGTACTTTTATAACCAATAGACAATTTTATTACATAAAACTTCTGTATGTATGACATACTAGAGCTTTGACCTTCCTGTGAATCTGTAGACTTATCGGAATACCTCCTTGTGAGTTGGATAGCCTTCCTATCTGTGGTTAAGGTGGTAGCTAACCCTCTAAGACATTGAGTGTTAAGACAAGATAAAATATGGGGACCGGAATGTGTGTCAGTAAACTTATTATTGATATTGATGTTTGTTTTGGATTCACTTCATTTATTGTAGTGTGACCTAACTATGATGTGACCACACGTGTAGTAATCTGCCCTTGGTGAAACAGTCACACTTAATTTCTCTTAGCTAGAGTTTAGTTATAAGTGAAAGGGTCAAATTAGTTATCTCCCCTTTTAAGTTCAGTTATCTACCCTTGTTCTGTTGAATGTTTCGTAGTAAATGTATTTTCAATCTTTCCTCTCAATGCTTGCCATCTGTTTCATATAATCCAGGCAGAAGCCATATTACATGTACTTACACTGTGGTTTACACAGACCACAAA